CTAGCTGCGACATATACATTAGGTCGAAATACAGCACTTGTTCTTGATGTTGGTTATAAAGAAGCTCAAATAATGCCTGTTGCTGAAGGTGTACCACTAGCAATACAATTTGATAGTTTATCCTATGCAAGCAAAGCTATTCATCGGTAAGGAAATGGAAATATTGTTTAGGAGACGAATAGATAAGTTGGCTTTTTTTAAAATAAGTTTTAAAGAAAGGAATCATCTATGATCGATAGATTGTTAAAGTATCTAGAACAAGTTTTATTCAGTAATGGAGAATATTGCCTATACAAAGTTGTTTTTCTTTTCTCTAACCACTAGAAATAAGAAAAACCATAGTTAGTAAAAAAACTTTAAAAAACACAATATTGTAAATTACACGAGAAAATAATAATAAGAGTGTGAGTTAAGGTACAAAGCACTCTCCATATTTGATTCTGTAATTTCAAAATAATTTATACATGTCTGCTTAAAAATCGATCTTGAGTCAAATGCATTCAAATCACATGAAATTTTCAGTCCTAGAAGATGAAGTTTTCGGAAGATATTCAAATAAACAAAGGTCAAAAATAGTTCATTTGACAACACAAAATTCTCTGTAGATCTTCATTCTATATACTTACTTTTCTTTTGTTTGAAACAACTTGTCAGGATTCAGCGTATGAGTCTTTTTTTTTAAATTTTTTCTTTTTTAAGAGAAAAAAAAATGAAAAGTTCGATGTCTTGGAACATTTTCAGGTCGAGTGATACAATCTGTATACGACCGTATAATGGACCATATTTCTGCGTCCGATAAAACGTTCCGTATGGGAACTATATCGTTCGATCTGGGTTCTCAAAAAAAAAATGGCGCTCTAACTATAAAAGTACTCTTCTATATAATAGTAACAAAGCTTAATTCAAAAAAGAGATCCTATCATGCCCTACATCTTGGCATGCTCTTGCAAACCAAAAAAAAGGGCAATTGACTACAATGAAGTTTTTTCGAGAATTCTCGGATGCTCGATCTGAAAAAACGAAAAATATTTCCGGCTTTTTCTGAAAACACCATATTTTTCCAGTAGATAATAACAAAAATCATCACAATTTTCGTAAAAAGGAGATGCCGAATAAAAAAGAATCATGTCATTTATGAAAGATTAGGCTTCAGGCTATCTTTCTATGCATTTATCTTAATTTCGATAATTCTGATGAAAATTCGATTTTTTGTTTTGTGGATGGAGACATTAGGTAACACTCTTTTATTGCTTCTATCATTTGTTTGCACATGGACTTTTGCATGAGTCATATTGAATAACTTTAACACGCGTCACTCTGTCACTAACAAAGACAAAACAATAAGATGGCGTGATACTTGAAACGATTGTCTAAATTTTTTCATAGAAAAATAAAATATAATTTCGAAAACTGAATGAAAAACTAATGTGTTATTTTCTATTTAGACAAATTCAATTATTACTTGAACAACATGCCGTAATCATTCGTCAAGGAAAGAAACAATCATTTAAATCAGTTAAAATAAAATTATCAGAAGATACTTTGGAAGATATTAAAGGTTTGCTTATTTAATTTATTCAAAAAAAAAAAAAACAATATTTCGTTTAGTTCGTTGTTGTTTCATTTCACCATTTACTCGTGCACAAACTTATGCTAAAAATAAATATATTCCTGATGAATCAAGTGAATCATTTAAAGAAGCGTCATCAATTGATTATCCATTAGATGGAATGATGATTATTCGTATTCCTGGAATAGTTAGGTATTAAAAGTTTATAATTAATCTAATGACAAAAAAAAAGAATATTCAAATATTTCTAATTAGAGAATTTGCATGTGAAGTTCTTTTTGAACAAGATATTGATGGAAGATCAATAGCAACATTGATACTCGATACTTTACTTCAAGTATATACATCTTATATTATTGATTAAAAATTAAATATTTGTATACTTTAGTCATCTATTGATCTTCGTCAACAGTTAGCTAAGAATATTCTAGTTATTGGAGGTACAGCAATGATACCAGGTTTTTTACATCGTTTACATTCCGAATTAATTTATCTTGTTAATATATCGACATATGTAAATAGATTAGTTATAAAACAATTTCATTTCCATTCTCCACCAGCACAATTGAATTATACAGCATGGTTAGGAGGTAAATCGATTGTTTTTTTGTTAAAATGTATTTGTAGTTTTATTGATTTTATTTTATGTTTAGGTTCTATTTTTGGTACTCTTGATATATTAGAATCACAGTCAATTATATGTGATAAATATTTAGAAAATGGTATTATACCAGATTGGTTTACAGACGAGCAAACTGCTTAATTTCTTTTTTTAATATTTAATCATAGAATTTGATTTCTTATTTTTTTTACCTTTTTTTGGTACTGAGATTTTTGATGATAAATGGAAATAATTATAATGATTTTCTATACTTTAGATAGATTAATATATTCTGATCTCAAAATATGAATCATAGAAATGTATTGTTTATCGATACAAATATTTCTTGAAGTGAAAATTGGAGTTAATATCAAGAAATTTATATGAAAGAAAATAATAATTATCAATGGTGCATTTAAGATTTTGAGATTTGTTTGTTTAATATTAAATAAAGAATTATCTACATATGTATGAATGTGACCACTAGTTATATTCTTTTACATTTGTTAATACTACGTCAGATTTTACTGTTTATTGTCTTCAATTTTTAAAACTAAATATAAAAAATATTTTATTTTTCTTTTTAATTCTAGATTCTAACAAATATTTGTCG